TCCAAAAATTAATTGGAGAAATGGAACTTGGCGACCAAAAGCCGTCGCAATTATTGAGAAAGATGACAGAGTTAGCAAGAAATGCCAAAGTAGCCGACTCCACTCTTCATAACCTATGGTTACAACGATTGCCAGCATCTGTAAGAGCAGTGTTAACAGTCAGCCAAGACCAAAAACTCGATAACTTGGCCGCCATAGCTGATAAAATAATGGAGAAAATCAAATTCGCCGAGGTGTCAGAGGTAGCCAGCAGTAGTAACTTCCCTATGAACGAACTGTTGACACAAATCAATAAATTAACACTCGAAGTCGCCGAGTTGAGAAGCCACCAGTTCCAGTCGCAAGGACGCGGACGCGGGCGCGGTCGTGGATATTATCAGTCAAGGAACCGAAGTCGCTATAGGCCAAGGGCAGGAAACGGAAATGGAAACCAGCTGTGTTATTATCACCGCCGATTCAGGAATCGATCGACAAAATGCGAGCAGCCGTGTTCATGGAGATCTAATTCAACGTCGGAAAACTCCCAATAGTGTTGACGGAGGCGGAAGTCAATGCTATTTATCCATCGAGCCGCCTGTGTGTTATCGACCGCAAAAGTCGATATCACTTTTTAATAGACACCGGGGCAAACATAAGTGTTATTCCTAAAACAAAGAACGCACCAAAGTCGAACGAGTACAAACTGTATGCAGCGAACGGTAGCGAAATTAGAACCTACGGTGAAAGAACGCTCGAAGTGGATCTCGGGTTACGCCGACCTTATAGATGGACGTTTGTAATTGCTGACGTCAAACAGCCAATACTGGGTGCAGATTTTTTGGCAAAATACAATTTATTAGTAGATATGAGACGGAAAAAAATAATTGACGGCCAAACGGGATTAATTACCCCAGCGAGTATTACTAACACAAATATACCTACAATCAAGACCATAAACGCGAAGATGGTATACGCCGATTTATTAGAGAAATATCCTGATATCACGAAACCCTTCTGTGCCAAAGAAACACCCAAACACCGCGTAGTCCATCAAATTATCACAGAAGGACACCCTGTATACTCTAAGTGCCGTCCGTTATCAGCTGAAAAATACAAACTGGTTAAGGAGGAAATTGAAAACATGCTTGCTATGGGAATTTGCAGACCATCGAAGAGCGAGTGGGCAAGCCCAATACATGTCACAGCCAAAAAAGACGGCGGAATAAGATTATGTGGTGATTATCGAAAATTAAATTCAATCACCAAACCCGACCGTTATCCAATTCCGAGATTGTTAGACTTTACATATCTTCTACCAAAAAAGACTGTATTCTCAAAAATTGACCTCAAAAGGGCCTACAATCAAATTCCAGTTGAAGACATAGAGAAAACGGCGATTATCACACCATTTGGTTTGTTCGAGTATCCACGCATGCCCTTTGGACTCCGTAACGCCGGCCAAACGTTCATGAGATTTATGAACGAGATCATGCGTGGTTTAGACTATGTGTTTTGTTTTGTTGATGACATCTTAGTAGCCTCAGAAAACGAGATTTTACACCGAGAGCATGTCGAAGAGGTACTGAGGAGATTAAACCACCATGGAATCACATTAAACATCGATAAATGTATATTTGGTCAAACTGAAGTCGAATTCCTAGGATACCAAATTACTACACAAGGAATAATACCATTACCAGAGAAAACTAAAGCCATCGATGAATACCCGTTACCAAAAATGTACGAGAGTTAAAACGTTTTATGGGAATGCTAAATTTCTATAGAACGAGTATACCTCATGCAGCCTCACATCAAGCGCCACTAAATAAGTACATGTGTGGTAGTAACAAAAAGGACAATAGTACCATTGAATGGAACGAGCAAACCAAGGAAGCCTTCAGACAGTGCAAGGACAGCTTGAAAAAAGCTATTGCACTGAGCCCACCATCTTACGACGCTCCGCTATCGCTCATGACAGATGCATCACAATCATGCGTTGGAGCCGTGTTACAACAATACACAAATAATGAGTGGAAACCAATAGCATTTTTTTCAAAAACGTTATCAGAGACGCAGCAGAGATATAGTACCTATGACAGAGAGCTGTTGGCAATATACATGGCTATACGTCATTTTCAAGATTATTGTGAAGGTCATGAACTGATAATATATACTGACCATAAGCCACTGACCTATTTCAATAAATGTAGTTCGAAAGAAAAAATATCACCGAGACGATTACGTCAATTAGATTACATAGCTCAGTTTACATCGGAAATAAGACACGTCTCAGGTGCGAATAACATAGTGGCCGATGCACTGTCCAGAGTCTCTCAAATAGATTGCCCTAGTAATATTGATTGGGACGAAATAGCAAAATATCAGCATGAGGACCCGGAAATGAAAAAAATATTGCAACAACACAATTTGAAATGGAAAAAAATAAGCCTACCTAGCAACAAAGAGTTATACTGTGAAGTGTCAACAAACGAAATTCGACCTTATATACCGAACATATTTAGAAAACAAATATTCGGTATATTACACGACGTCACACATCCAGGGATTAGAACTTCGAGAAAATTACTTGTAAAACACTACTTTTGGCCCGGGATGAACCAGGACACCCGGAAATGGGCCAAACAATGTATAGCGTGCCAGAAATCAAAGATCATTCGACATAATAAGGCCCCACTTATGCAGTTTCCAGAATCAGAACGATTTGAGCATGTCCACATAGACATAGTCGGACCTCTGCCAATATCTAATAATAACAGATATGTAGTAACATTCATCGATCGTTTTACCCGATGGCCAGAAGCGATACCAGTACCGGAAGTAACAGCTGAAGTAGTAGCTAACACATTTTACAATAATTGGATCACGAGGTTTGGTTGTCCAGCCAGGATAACAACCGATCAAGGACGGCAGTTCGAGTCGAATTTATTCACATCTTTAGCAAAGTTAATGGGTATCAAGAAGATCAGAACGACAAGCTATCACCCACAAGCTAACGGAATGGTAGAGAGATGGCATAGAATTATGAAAACAGCCATAATAGCGCGCGGTAAATCAGCAGACTGGTCACGTGAGCTACCTACCATTTTGTTAGGCCTACGAACGACGATTCGACAAGACTGTGACGTCAGTCCAGCACAGATGGTCTACGGAAGTTACATTAGAATACCCGGAACATTTTTCGAAGTAAATGAAAAACACAATATAATTACACCCGACTCATTTGTCGAAGAATTGCAACGATCAATCCAAAACATTAAACCAGTTCCGAGCAATATCAAGACGTCCAAAAACACTTTTATCTACAAAGACATGAATACATGCAAACACGTATTTGTCAGAGTAGACGCTGTGAAGAAACCCTTGGTAGCACCGTACGAAGGCCCATACCAAGTTTTGGAAAAACATGAAAAATATTTCAAACTTCAATTACCAAATAGAACATGCGTTATTACAATCGACAGATTGAAACCAGCGTTCATAGTCCACGAGGGCGACGACATCAGAAACGCATCGTCTGCACAAAAATGCACTGAATCGCAAGGCGATGACGTAAAATCGGCACCACCGCCGTATGTTACAAAGTCAGGCCGAATTGTCAAGCCCGTCGTCCGTTTTCGCAATTAATCATTTTTTTTACATTTGCAGTTTTAAACAATGCAATTCATTTCGCATTCAACCGTGAACCGAAGACAACACCAACTACAACATGGGTAGCCACTCATCCAAAGAGGAGATCGTTGTCTCCCAGGGACAAGCAGCCGCAAGTGGCGGGAACGCACAAACTACGAGTACCATCACGAGAATCGAGATGCTGATGGGTGCCGTATGCCTAATATTTCTCATCATGGTGGCATACTGTTTTCTGAAGCGGTGTGTCGCCGATTGGTGACCCCGACGTGATATATTGGAATATATTTTTTAAATTTCGTGAGGATATTACTGGGGATTTTACATAAACTGCAGGCAGATGCATACGTTACCTATACACATACCCCCTTACTAATAAAAGGTTACACAGTTGTTGAACACTGTTTTAAAATGATATTTCCATACCAAACGTCACTTTAAAACACTGTTCAACTAGCGTGTAAGTTTTATTAGTAAGGGGGATAGTTTATAATAACTAAACAAAATTTGTACTAAAGCCACGTGTAACCTTTTTATGTAAACATGACTAATGCAAGTAAATCCTAATTATATGATCAAACGAACTTACCAAGTGAAGTTCGATCTGAATTATCCTGTTTTCGCCGAAGAGATTTATTTTACCATGTAGTACCCCTGTACGACAACCCAATCCGCACACAATATTCAGCGTAGTAGTAGTAAAAAACAAAAGNCGCTCGCGAGGATAACCTCCAACATCCCGATGACATCGGTAGCTGCGGTGCCTGCAGCAACGAGAACCGCACAGGCACAACAAGTGAACCCCGCTTTTGTGCCCTAAATAAGTGATTTTTTTTTTAAACTCAGTGCAGTGTTAACGTGGTAAAGATAAGTGCAGTGCATAAAGGCAAAAACCAAGTGCTACATAATTAAGTACCTATAGCAATAATATTTTTTTTTATTAACCATTGTTTAAATGTTTTGTTCATTTCATGTTAAGTAGTTTAATGTGAACATGTTTTCTTTTACCTGGAATAATTATTTTTAAACTAGCTTTCCGCCCGCGGCTTCGCCCGCGTGGAATTTTGTCTGTCACAGAAAAACTTTATCGCGCGCGTCCCTGTTTCAAAAACCGGGATAAAAACTATCCTATGTTCTTTCCCGGGACTCAAACTATCTCTATGCCAAATTTCATCAAAATCGGTTGCGAGGTTTAAGCGGGAAAGCGTAACAGACAGACAGACAGACAGACAGACAGACAGACAGACAGACAGANATAACCCTTTTGTCAGTGTGTGCGTGCGCGCCGCATACGTGTTGGCGTTTCTATGAAGATAACCTACACATTTGTATTTACTCTGGTAATAACCCCGATGACCGATGGAGTCTTCCACTCACCCCATGAGCTCATTCCCCACGGCCGCCGATCCTTTGTGCAGTTTGACGGTGAGCGCGCAGAGAGTCGTCAGCTTCTGCTGCAGAGACGTTAAGTAGTCCGCCGCCGAGCTGAATTCTGGGTCTTTTACCCTGTGGACGAAAAAACAGAATATTATGCGGCATATAAAAGACAATAAACATAGAATAAATAGGTGCTTTTGTGTAAATAAGAGCGAGAGGTGTAAAATAAAAATGATAAAATTTTACACGTCTCGCCCCTTTATTACGCGGCCGTCTGGTGTAGTGGTTCAGAACGGACTACTATGCCGAGAGGTCCCGGGTTCGATTCCCGGCCGGGCAGAAATTGAAATGATGAATTTTAATTTCTGTGGCGGGTCTGGGTGTGACTATGTATAATATTTATGTATTTAAAAAAAAAAGTATATAAGTAGTTTATCCGTTAAGCTAGCACCCATAACACAAGCATTAAGTTGCTTACTTTGGGGCTAGCTGGCGCTGTGTGAAATTGTCCAAAGATTTATTTATTATTATTATTATATTATTATTATGTTTGAACGCTTTGGAGCTCACGGGTCAAAAGTGGCCCGGTCCTTTATAAGGCTTGCGTGGGGATACAGATCCAACACGTAGAGGCCGTTTTAAGCGTAAAATAATCGACAAAAGTGAAAGTGGTGCACATGCTGGATTATTATTATTATTATTGTTATGTTTTCTTTATTATTATTATTATAAAAAAATGAAACATAAGTTACTCGTAAAGTGATGACCGTTGGGGTAGAAAAGTTCTCGAATGGCGACCACGTGCCAAAAAAGTATTTTAGTCAGGTCTCCCTCTAGATGGATAAACTGGTGAAGTATTTTAGACCTTGTCTAACTCGGAACACCTTATCTAACTCCTCATCATGCGTGCACGATGTTCCAATATAAGCCATACATCTAGCTCCATTAGTATTATTGACATCATACTTGGCACTAAGTCCCCATAGGTTGCGCACCTTGTCCGATTCGGAACACCTTGTCTAGCTCTTTTTTATGAGTGCAGATGTTCTCATATTTCACTTAGGATTGATTTTTCAATCGTCAGATATCTTTTAATTGAAGAATAAGCTTGACATTTTGACATAATATTTCCCATGATTAAACTGTGCCAAACTTATGCTTCACTTAAAAGTTATCCGACGATTGAAAAATCAGCCCTCACTCGTATGTAATAGTCACTTACCTAGCTCCATTATTATTTTTGCTATCATTCTTGGCACTCAGTCCCCACAGGTTGAGGACGCTGCTTTCACCTTAAAACACCTTGTTTAACTCAGAACATCTTGTCTAACTCGGAACACCTTGTCTAACTCGGAACACCTTGTCTAACTCGGAACACCTTGTCTAACTCCTCGTAATGCATGCAGATGTTTTAATATAACCCACTTACCTAGCTCCATTGGTATTTTTGCTATCATTCTTGGCACTAAGTCCCCCCCAAAGGTTGAGGGCGCTGCTTTCGCCTCTAAACACCTTGTCTAGCTCCTCGTCGGGCGTACAGAGGAATGTTCGGAGCTCCGGCGAGTGAGTTAGGATTGGGTGTTTGGCCACGCGTGCTGTGGAAAAAAAGCATTTATTAAACTCCCACTTGGTGGACTGACGATCTACTGACTCGCAACAAGCACGACGAAATCAGTCAATTCGTTGCTGGTTCCAAGAAGTCCTGGGACTACTCAACATTATCAAGCTGTAGATCTTAGCTATACAGGAATTGCAGTGGTGGGAAAGAGAAGTAGGCTAAGTCCCGTCACTCTCACTCACAAGTCACATAGGAGCGCGGCTAGCAGCGGGTGCGCCGCTGATTGAACACCTTGTCTAACTCGGACCACCTTGTCTAACTCGGATCACCTTGTCTAACTCGGACCACCTTGTCTAACTCGGACCACCTTGTCTAACGCGGACCACCTTGTCTAACTCGGGCCACCTTGTCTACCTGGGATCACCTTGTCTAGTTCCTCGTCAGATGTGTATATGTATGTTTGCATGTGAGTCACTCACATAGGAACGCGTGCAGTGCCATCGCCCGCAGGCGCACGAAGCCGGGCTCGTAGCGGTCGAGTTGTTGACGCGCGGAGTGCCGCGGCGGGAGCGGCGGAGCGGCGATCAGAGGGTGTGGAGTCACTCCCACTCACATAGGAGCGTCGCTAAAGCCCGGTCGCCGAGCACGTAGAATTTTGTCCAATGACTCCAAGCTACCCATCCTTATCATCATTTCAGCCACAGGACGTCCACTGCTGAACATAGGCCTACCCCAATGACTTCCACATCGCACGGTTGGTAGCGGCCTGCATCCAGCGCCTTCCTGCTACCTTTATCAGGTCGTGGGTCCACCTTGTGGGTGGACGTCTCACGCTGCGTTTTCCGGTACGCGGCCTCCACTCCAGAACCTTGCTGCCCCATCGGCCGTCAGTTCTGCGTACTATGTGGCCTGCCCATTGCCACTTCAGCTTGCTGATCCGTCGGGCTATATCAGTGACTTTAGTTCGTTTACGGATCTCCTCATTTCTGATTCGATTCGACCATCCTTATCGCTCGCGCGTAATTATGTTGCTATCGCGACTGTGCGACGGGCGGCCGCAGTGAGTGTGCGAGCGTGACAGCAACATAATTACGCGCGAGCGATAAGGATGGGTAGCTCACTCACATAGAAACGCGTGCAGCGCCATCGCCCGCAGCCGCACGAAGCCGGGCTCGTAGCGGTCGAGCTGTTGGCGCGCAGAGTGACTCTCACTCACATAGCAGCGGGTGCGCCGCTGGTTGAACACCTTGTCTAACTCGGACCACCTTGTCTAGCTCTCACTCACACAGGAACGCGTGCAGTGCCATCGCCCGTAGCCTCACAAAGCCGGGCTCGTAGCGGTCAAGCTGTTGACGCGCGGAGTGACTCTCACTCACATAGCAGCGGGTGCGCCGTTGGTTGAACACCTTGTCTAACTCGGACCACCTTGTCTAACTCTGACCACCTGGTCTAACTCGGACCACCTTGTCTAACTCGGACCACCTTATCTAGCTCTCACTCACACAGGAACGCGTGCAGTGCCATCGCCCGTAGCCTCACGAAGCCGGGCTCGTAGCGGTCGAGCTGTTGACGCGCGGAGTGCCGCGGTGGAAGCGGCGGCGCTGCGATCAGAGGGTGCGCCGCTGACAACCGGCTGTGGAGGATCTGGGGGCGAAAAACACTTATAAAACTACTCATTATTATTTTTTAAGTTCACATGTTTCAACTCATGCTGTTTGTTTCCTTAATAAAGAAAAATAAATAAAACACATTCAGTAGGCAGTCTAGGATTGTAGTGTCCTGTAAGTGCCTATTCACTTTCGCTTTGAAAAGGCCCGGATTATAACGTTCGGGATAGACAGCAGTAGGCAGCATTCCAGTCCCTAGATTCCGTTATTATAAAAGAGTTATCGAAACCTGTGGAGCACTTAAGGACTAAAATATTAAGCACCCGCTCGGAAGGAAGATGTTCCACCTTAGCTATCTTTAGTGGTCGTTCTCCATATCCTACAAACTCACTCGGAAGTGGTACTAACATCAACTGCTGTTAAGAATTAATGTCACCAAAAATCTATATACAGTGTGTCCGGGCATGTAGTGATCAAACTTGAAAGGCGTAATCTATGGATAATTTTATCGGTGAAAATACTTTAAATTTGGGGCTTGACCCATTTCTCGCATATTTACAAGGATTTAAGTTTTTAATTTTAAGTTTTCACCTCTTCCTTCAAAAACAAGTGATAGCGTGGGTAACTTGACATTAATAAGAAAATATTTTATATCATGCGATAGCCAATAAAATTATCTACTAGTTGAAGTAGAAAACACATACAAGTTTCATACATTTAAGGGAGTAAGAATGGATTTAATTAGAAATAAACATGATTTTTTTCACATCTTTTTCAGTTATTTCCCAACACAAGAAAAACCAGGTCGTTAAGGTATGTTTTATTTGCATTGTATTATTAGTATTTGAGCCATTCTACAAAACGAATGTAAATTTATTAGTCTACGTCTATTAGTTTCGACGTAATTGTTGAACAAAGATACCCCTTCCCAGCGGTTTCCATAGCGCACGCGACATGCGAAAATGCACTGCCTGAAAGAATCACACAACCTATTCCGATTACTATGGAAACCGCTGGGAATGGGTATCTCTGTTCAACAATTACGTCGAAACTAATAGACGTAGACTAATAAATTTACATTCGTTTTGTAGAATGGCTCAAATACTAATAATACAATGCAAATAAAACATACCTTAACGACCTGGTTCTTCTTGTGTTGGGAAATAACTGAAAAAGATGTGAAAAAAATCATGTTTATTTCTAATTAAATCCATTCTTACACCCTTAAAATGTATTAAACTTGTATCTGTTTTATACTTCTACTAATAGATAATTTTATTGGCTATCGCATGATATAAAATTTTTGCTTATTAATGTTAAACTACCCACGCTATCACTTGTTTTTGAAGGAAGAGGTGAAAACTTAAAATTAAAAACTTAAATCCTTGTAAATATGCGAGAAATGGGTCAAGCCCCAAATTTAAAGTATTTTCACCGATAAAATTGTCCATAGATTACGCCCTTAAAGTTTGATCACTACATGCCCGGACACACTGTATATAAAAGAAAGTCGTGTTAGTTACTTCGCTTATAACTCAAGAACGGCTGAACCGATTTAGCTGAAAATTGTCAGGGAGGTAGTTTAGAGCCAGGAGAAGGACATAGGATACTTTTTATCCCGTTCGAAATTAAAAAAAAGTCTGCTTATTTATTGCCATTAAGGCGGAACAAAGTTCGCCGGGTCAGCTAGTAATAAATAAATGTCACCAAAAATCTCGTAAAGAAATTTACTGCTGTTTTATTAATTAGACAGGTCCTTAAAATTGTGCTTGATTTTTTAAGGGATCCGTAGACAAAAAAGGTTAAGAAACGCTGCTTTAAGGAGATAGCCGATAATGGGGATTGTCCACTGATCGGCCACATGCTCAGCTGGACGAAGAAATATGATACTAATATAGCCTAAGTTTTTACTAACATTAAGGAGCCCTGTTATCTGAAATAAATACTTTTTATTTATTTTATTTTATTTAAAGGCACTGAGTCTCTATCAGAAGGAACTCTAGGGGTGGAATCTCCATAGGCGTGGGTTAACGGGCAAGGAGATAATATCTTGGATGGTTGACAATCACTTTTCCTACAATTTAACGTTCCACCAAACTCAACACGCTTTCAAAGATAACCTCGCAGCCGCCTGCTCACACTTGACATGACACAACTCATTGACAGTTATCTTTTTCTGCGCATCAGTCGGGTGTTACGTTTAGGAATCACAAACCTTCTGCTCTACAGATTTCTACAGATAACATAATATTAAGATTGGTACTATTAATCATCAATAATAATTTGCAGCATCTGTGTCCGGCGCCGACATATTTATTTATTTAACTCGTCGCACTCACCCGGAAGTGGTTGTAGCGGCGGCGCACAGCGGGCGGCGCGGGCCAGCGAGCGCAGACGCATCGCACGCGGTACGTCACGAACGTTTCTAGCGTCGATAACTGTTTTAGAGGCGCGTCAACCTGTAAAATAAAAAATCAAAATCAAAATATCTTTATTTGTTTAGACTAATTAAATTAGTACTTGCAAATCGTCAAAAGCTCTTAAGAAGCCTATACATGTCTCATTCTTTTTTTTGCCCTACCAGCGCTTCCAGAGCGAAGGGTAAACAATTAAAAAAACTATTTGATGCAGGATTTCTCATACATTTTTTCACTGTAATGCCCCTGGGAAAAGTTTAAAGTTAATTACGAAAAACTATAACACCTACAAACTTGGGCAGGTAGTTTCCTCATAAGGTGTAGACATCTGCTATGATTTTACAAAACTCCACCCTTAAGGGGGTAAAACGGGATCCACGCGTACGAAGTCGCGAGCGGCCACTAGTCTAAATATATAAAAGGAGAAACTGACTGACTGACTGACAGATCAACGCACAGCCTAAACGGCTAAACGTAGGCACTTGAAATTTGGAAGGGACGTAGCTTAGGTACCGTAGAGGTGCACTAAGAAAGGAATTTCCGAAATTCCCACGGGAACGGGAATTAGCGGGAAAAACGGGATTCACGCGTACGAAGTCGCGGGCGGCCGCTAGTACTTTATAAAACTGTTTAAATGAGACTCTGGGAATAGGGTATTGACATCACCAATCAACTGTTTTACTTTATAAAACTGTTTTTGTTGGGTTGGGTTGTTAATACAAGCCGATGACGTCACTATTTTGCCAACTCAATTGACTAACTTTTTTATTAGCAGTTTAAAAGTTTTTATAGCATAAACACTAGCTCATTAGCAGAATCAACTAAAAATATTATCCTTTTCAACAATACCTTAACAGCAATATCATATCCATGCTCCATAATCAGCGGTATGCCTTCGTTGCCATCGTTGGTGTCTTCCGTCACACTCGGTGGCTCCGTGTCTTCTGTGATGTCCCCATCGTTCAGGTCCAGCACAGCTGAACTGCTCTCACTTGCCATGGCTAAAAAATGGTTTAATTAGTTGCTGATGTAAATAATTAATACTAAGTTAATTTAACTGTATTGTCGATGATACTGAATAAACATTTCTTTTTCTTCTTAACACTTAGGTGGACAGTACAAGTTAAGAATGAATTCCCAATACGACACTACTTATTCACATACATTTCACTGGGAGTAAGGTCAATGTAAAACGAGTATAAACTATGACGTCTATAGACATTCTGTCGTATTATTCTTTACTACCTGAACACCCGTGGATGTTACTGTCCATTTTAATACTTAATAAACAATTTTAATATTTCAGCACTGGCCCATTTATGGTCCGGAAGCAGTGGTAGACTTAAATTAATACTGAGACATGTAAAACTGCTTTTTAAAAGCCTAAATGCAAAAAAGAAATTCCTTTTTCTTCAATAATTTAATTTGAAACTCATCTTATTTTCATGCTCGCAAGCAAAAAATACAATAGTACAGTTTTAATACAAAATTTATGCACGTATACAATAGAGGTTTTTAGAATTTATGATAACAACACAAATCAAAATCAAAATCAAAAATATTTATTCAGTTTAGACCACAAGTGGCACTTATGAAGTTGAAATAGGAGTTATTTTATGATAAAAAGGTTTAATCTGTGTAAAAATGTAATTAACAACATTAATACCCAATAATCAAATAAAGTAAAATGTAAATTCTGTAATCTACTGAGTGTTTAATGTCAACAACAATAAATAATCACAATGTCAAGGTCAAAGAATTAGTGGGAGGTTTGCACTCTAATTTTATAATTGGCTTTATTAGTTAAATTAACTGAACAAACTGAATGATTTTAGGTATTCAGCACAAGTTTGAATGACTGAGGTAGACTAAAAGAAGTATTCAAGCAATAAAACTTTATAAAAAATAATACACATAACACTCCCAAGCAAAATAAACAAGGTTTTGATGGCAAATCTGGATGTATATACAGGCAGAGAGGTAATATTAACTGTAAGGCGTATCTGTACGTACTTTTAGATGATTCAAAGCAGTACTTTTACAAAAATTTGGCACTGGCGCGAAATGTACTTTCTAACCAATTGGAGCAGAAATTTGACGGCAACACGCTGCGATAATAACACAAATGATAAGCACTTTAATGGGCTATAATTAGCAAAACAACTTTGCACTTCAAACTCGCAAGGATAAGACGAAACTGCTGAGCGTTTATGGAAAAAGGGGGCGTAGACTTTCTAGTTACAAGTAGACCACTTATCAAAAAAAATTTCAGTACTCTTTTTAGAACACAATCTACAAACATTTACCATATAAATATACCTACTTGATAAGGCTTGACACAAGAAAAACTTCACAAAACAACAATTTTATTCCAGCTTGGCCTGATTTCCGAAAATGGATCAATAATAATGCAAGCACTGTTGTTTCACTCCCGTACACGTAATGGTGACTACATTACAACTAATTAGACTAATTTAATTAAAACAAAGCACCTTTCTTCAAAGAAATATTGAGTTTCTTTGTATTTTTTGAATCGGGAAAATCATTAAATTTCCACTTTTGACAGATTGGTACACGTTTCTTCACACGTAATAATTTGGCATAAAAGTGTTGTCAATTATTTGTTTGATATACTTGTAACGAAACGCCCACTTAATAGTTGGTATTATGTGTTTATTAACGATACTTAATCGATTTAGTCAGCTTTCCCAACATTAGTGAAAATTAAAAAAAAATGTGTGGACGTTTTTGACATTGACGTTTGAGCAACCTGTTTGTTGTTCTCAATCGTGGTATTTTTTGTGGAGGACTTTGNTTAGTAATAAGTTTCTTTAAACCATAAATGAATCTTTTGTTAAAAGTTTAATTGCGGTTAAAATATCATCCCTTTTGAAGTGCTTAAACCACATAAACTTTGTTTAGCATCTTATATAAACGCTATCTAAGTCCACCATCTAGGATGATTTTTTTTTTTTTTTTTTTATTAACAAGTGGGTAATCTCAGAATGTACTCGTGTCGACGGATGCGATTAAAAATATTCTTAATATCAACGTCTCTGCGCCGACGTGTATAATTATTTGTTATGTATAATTAATTATGTTTACTCGCATGGTTATGATGATTATGAAAAAATTCATCTGGGTTCGAATCGGGAATCGAATAGGTATCTCGGTACAATAAATTCTGTAACCGGATATTAGGTACATTGCATTTGTGCGGTCGTTGCGCGTGCGCACAAAGGAATGAGACCGCTCGGACACCGAGCCCACAGCGTGGTAGGGGTGGGGTTGCCCGCTCTTTTGTTTTTTACTACTACTACGCTGAATATTGTGTGCGGATTGGGTTGTCGTACAGGGGTACTACATGGTAAAATAAATCTCTTCGGCGAAAACAGGATAATTAATAAACAAAAAAAATATTGGTATTTGTGGGGTATCTCTGGCTGAATTGTACAGATTAAAAACGAATTTGATCTTTTTAACGTAAATAATAAACACACTGGCTGATTGAAACACACCGACTCGATACTTTTTCGTCAGTCTTTTAATTTTTCTTTTTCCTCAGCCTACAGACATTCTGCCTGCCAGTGCTTCTGCACAGTGCACATATGAAGTTCATTTCACTTTTGGCTCTCTCACAATGGTATCAAGCTACATTGTGCACAATTGTATTTTAGCAAACGGGCAGAAGAAAGTGGACACAATTCGGGATTTCACAAGACAGATTACAGAGGGCGCATTAATAAGGTGACACTTGCACGCCACGATCCGACTGATTTGTGACCACCAGTCAGTTTTGTGAATTTGACTAAAAAATATAAGTTTGGCGAATGGTAGAGCCAATTATGTAATATATTATCTATGCTATAAACATTATTTCAAGCAATTAATGCAAATATTTATTATTTCGGACATAGACAATTAGACAATAGAACAAGACATGGATGATAGAGTTACATGGACTTGTCACGTTATTACAGATTATTTAATTAATTGTGCAATTATAATTAATTAAATAATCTGTAACTTGCTTTAAAAAATGCATCCCCACCCCATCTATCTAATATCCATCCATCTATCTGTTTATAACTTGCTTCAGGGAATTGTGTAAGATTAAGTAAAAGTAAGTACCTTGGGCAGGCCTCCCACTAGGTGGACCGACGATCTGGTGAAGGTCGCGGGAAGTACCTGGATGCAAGCGGCGCAGGACCGGTCTTTGTGGAAATCCTTGGGGGAGGCCTTTGTCCAGCAGTGGACGTCTTTCGGCTGAAACGAACGAACGAACGAAAGTACCTTGGGGGAGGCCTTTGTCCAGCAGTGGACGTCATTTGGCTGAAAAGAAGAAGTACTGTCACATTGAAATGCATCATGCATCGCAGAGCTATTTGGACAAACAAGATGGATCAATCTACATTGCCAAGACTTGGCTGAGTTGCACCACCAAACATTAACCGTAACTAAGTATAACGATAACCGGTGTATTTCGTATGGAGTTTGACAGATTTTTGATGTTTGTTAAAGTAAAAGTAAGATGGCGCAACTCAGCCTTACAGTGCACACTTCTCTATCTCGCTTGCATCTCAGTGTAAACACTGAAACATTCTCACTTTAGTCACTGCTCCCGATCTGACCATGTAAACCGTTGTTCAAAATTTTTTTTTTTTTTTTTTTTTTTTTTTTTTTTTTTTTTGTAGGATTATAGTCAACAAGCCATAGAACAAGGCTCAAGTAGTTTCAAAGCAAGATCTGTCAAGGCTTAGTCGAAATCGACCACTTTATGTTTCATTCCATACAACGAAAATGGAAAATATTTTTTTCCAGTCAAACTATTGGTTTTAGAGAAAAACTTGTGCAGCATTTATTCATCAGAATAACGTAACCTATCGATAGGTATTTTTTTCAAAAAGAAATTGTGAAAAAAATCGCTATGTCCATAAATCGCAATTTCGCTCCATAGTGGGGCGCATTAATAAGGTGACACTTGCATGCCACGATCCGACTGATTTGTGACCACGACTCAGTTTTGTGAATTTGACTAAATATATTAAGTTTGAGCTATGTTAGATATTAGTTATTATTAGAGATGAAACGGATATCCGGTAACTATCCGGTAGGCCGGGTATCCGGCCTAAATTTACTATCAGGCAGGATACCGGATAGTAACACACTACCCGGCCGGATACCGGATATTAAAAAACTACGACAATTTCCTATTAATAAAATGAAATACATTAATCTTTGCAAAGAAGTCCAAAAAGTTACAAAAAGCCATATTAAGGCCTTTCCAAAAAACATTTCTTTTTCTGGGCTATTTTCAGCTAGCAGCTGGCCGGATTTCCGGTATCCGGTATCCGGCCAAACAACTATCCATTTCATCTCTAGTTATTATGACTCAAGCAACATTGTAATGTAGTTAAGTAGTCAATGCAAAATCTTTATTATTTCATGATGATAGATATCAAAAATTTAGAGTAGGTAGGTACATATTATAGACAAGGATTATTGGACTAGTGCTGCAGTATTTTTATACAAAAAAATTTCAAGCAAAATGGTCTTCAATCCCAAGACACACAGCAGGTGCAAATCTCATCAGTGCTTGCATCTCAGTGTAAACACTGAAACATTCTCACCTTAGTCACTGCTCCCGATCTGACCATGTAAACCGTTGTTCAAAATTTCGCGTGCACTAAACAAATGCAAGGGGGTCGATCTGCCGATAGTCGCGTCGTGTCGCCGCGAGGTCGCGGGGTCGAAATGTCCCGAAGCTCATGTCCGATGGCGAGATAAGATTATAGACCAGGATTATCCGACCAGTGTTTTTTTACAAAAAATTCAAGCAAATTGGTCTTCAATCCCAAGACACACAGCAGGTGCATATCTCATCAGTGCTTGAATCTCGGTTAAAACACTGAAACATTCTCACTTTAGTCACTGCTCCCGATCTGTGTGCTTACCATGAGTTTACGTTAGATGTGCTCGCTAGCGACTACGTAAAAAATGACATTAATTGTATGACATAATGTGCAGCGCCCCTAGCGGCTACTTTCAAGAAACAAAATCTTCATAGAGATTTTTGACGTACTCGCTAGCGAGCATACCTAACGTAAACTCATGGTAGGTACACTGACCATGTAAACCGTTGTTCAAAATTTCGCGTGCACTAAACAAATGCAAGGGGGTCGATCTGCCGATAGTCGCGTCGTGTCGCCGCGAGGTCGCGGGGTCGAAATGTCCCGAAGTGCTCATGTCCGATGGCGAGATAAGATTATAGACCAGGATTATCCGACGTGTTTTTTTACAAAAAATTTCAAGCAAAATGGTCTTCAATCCCAAGACACACAGCAGGTGCAAATCTCATCAGTGCTTGCATATCAGTTAAAACACTGAAACATTCTCACCTTAGTCACTGCTCCCGATCTGACCATGTAAACAGTTGTTCAAAATTCCGCGTGCACTAAACAAATGCAAGGGGGTCGTTCTGCCGATAGTCGCGTCGTGTCGCCGCGAGGTCGCGGGGTCGAAATGTCCCGAAGTGCTCATGTCCGATGGCGAGATAAGATTATAGACCAGGATTATCCGACCAGTGTCTTTTACAAAAAATTTAAAGCAAATTGGTCTTCAATTCCAAGACACAGCAGGTGCATATCTCATCAGTGCTTGCATCTCAGTGTAAACACTGAAACATTCTCACTTTAGTCGCTGCTGCCGATCTGACCATGTAAACCGTTGTTCAAAATTTCGCGTGCACTAAACAAATGCAAGGGGGTCAATCTGCCGATAGTCGCGTCGTGTCGCCGCGAGGTCGCGGGGTCGAAATGTCCCGAAGTGCTCATGTCCGATCGCGAGATAAGATCGCAATCTGTGGATATTGCTCGCCATAATCATATGCGGGGTCTCCTTTTTTTCTGGAGGCGTACCGAGGCGTGCCGCACAATGAGTCTTATAATGCAGCATTGTCGTTCCGTTTTACGGAATTAAAAGGTTATTTATGCGTTCGCAAATAATAATTTCGGTGCTTGTTTCAGATGCGGCGTTTGTCTTCTGTTAATTATTGGTGGTGAGTTCGCTTATTATGTTTTATTATTTTCAATTTGGTATTAGGTCCGTTGAGCGCTCCTTACGGGGTTCATGCTTACAACTGTATTTCAGCCACAATAATTAAAGCAATAAAAGTTTCTGGATATGTAATGGCTGGGTTGCACCATCTTAAACGTCAAAAATATGTCAAACTCCATGCAAAAACACCGGTTATCGACGGTCAAAGTTAGCTGGAAAAACTCAACCTAAAAAGCATGAAACTTACCGTCACCTTAGCGCTGCACTGGGAGAAAAGGGTGTAACGTAGGTACGTTACACCCTTTTCTCCTTATAGGTATAAGGAGAGCTCTATGTCCTATCCTCAAAACATACTGATGGTGGAGGCCCAAATATTAATACTATGAATGTACTAATCTTATCAATTCAGATGTAACTTATGACTACTAGTCGATCAAGGGGATTTTCATTCATTTTTATTTCCCTAATTTACATTTGTTACAATCCATCACCGGTAACCGAGCCATAGTCCCAGCTAGTTGGAGCATGC